CAAAGCTATTAAGCACGAATTTCCAAAAATCAATAGATATGAATTCCTTACCTGGAGGCAGTTACTCGAAGCCTTGATACTGGCTGAGCTGTCAAGCTCTAGCGACGCCATGTGGTTCGCCATCATTGCCAGCGACTGAAGTCCGGGAAGCCCAGCCGGAACTCCCACGCCGGTGGCGCCTCCGGCATAGGCCACCACCGCTGCCTTCAGTACGATCGCGAGGAGGTGAAGAAGCTGCATTGCTGGATCCCTCATCTTCAGCCTTTTCTCCCTTTAACGAAATCTGTGAAGTCTATTTATTTATTAATATTGAGATATCCTATGGAACATATTTTTATAGTAATTATATTTATTTTTAAAAAATTAAAATATAATAGTTAATTAGTTAGTTATTTAATATACTAATTTAAATAAATAATGTTTATAAAATTTTAATCGGAATACGTAATAACTAATCAATAGAGGTACGAAGGATATCTATTAATTTTTGGAAATTCGTGCAGGACCCTCTTGTCATCCAATTTTTTGGGAAAAAAATATTGTGATATCATTTAAAAGTATATTTTATGGTGATATAAATGAGATTATATTTAGGCCTTTATAGTGATATCATTTTTTTGTTATGGTGATATAAATGTAATTTTTAAGAGCATATTTTTATTGAAATGTGTGCTATGATTTCTATTGAACATGTTATTATAAAGTATTGTAATTATTTTAATTAATGAGGTATTTATTAAAATTATATCGTTTTATTATGTTTAACTTAATATATAATAGCCATTATGAAATTTAAAGGTAATTTACTATCTGGGTAATGATTAACATTCAATTAATTATGATTTGAGCAATCTTTCATCATGAAATAAATTTTTTATTGAATATGATATCAACAAAAAATTTTTCTTTTTTTTAATCTCTATTAAATGTTATTTAAACCAATTTTGATGACAGCTATTTAAGGAAAAATAAAAAATAAAAACAAACTTATAGTTCAAAATGATGTTATTTTAATTCAAAATGGGCTACAAAGAACTTTTTTTTAAAAAAATAATATAACATTTGAAAGCACATTGTGCTGCTTTGAATTCAAATTCATTATTTTTTTATAATTTTTAAAAAAATTTATTCATTGTAAATTAATTTATAAACTATAATATTCAAAATGCTTAATTTGAAATAAATTAGATTACAAAATCATGCAAACTTCAATATTTAGCAGCTTCCACAATATTTAATTTTAATTGATAGCTCTGCTCTTTTGATCAAATACATTGCCACATTCTCTAGTAATGCCTACCAAACATTCAAAACATAATATTTATTACAAATTAATATTAATAATTTTGAATAGGCAGCAAAAATGAGAAAAAGGGTTCATGTGGCTGACCCCACATAGTGGGATAAAGGATTGATGATGTTTTTGCTATGGTGCGAATTGAATTTCATTTTTTTAAGACTGCCAACTTGCTCCACTTTTCAATGAGTAGCTCGTTAAGAGGTAAACGAGCTCGAGCAAAGTTTTATCTAAACGAGCAGAGCTCGAACAGGGTCCTGACAGACGAGCTTGGGTTCGAACATGCTAAAGCTCGGCTCAGCTTGGTTCGTTTGCAGCCGCTTGAAGAAGAATCAACTCTAACCTTTGAGGATGGATAGAAGCAAATCTTGTTCAGGATTTTCAAGATCTGCAAGAAAATGCACTATAAATGTGTAAATTGAGTATATATAAAAAAAAAAAACAGACACAAGAACTTAAAAAAAAAAAAAAAAAAGTTAAAGGCTTATGCTTATAATAAAAAGTAGCTCATTCCTAGCAAAAGTCATATGGTTTTAATGATTCCAGAATCGCCATAGTATTTACTTTTAACTGTCAGGAAATTATGCTCTTTGCTAGATTACAAGCTAACGCATTAAAATGTATACTAGCAGTGCTTTTAATTAAACTACTACATCCTTCAATCTTAATACAAGAGAGACTGATCATGCATGAAAAAAAAAATAAAAAATTGAGCTTTATAATAAGAATCTTTCAATCAGATAGAATCAATTAGATACAATAATAACATCAAGCCTTTGTCCTACTACGTAGAGTCGGCTGCATGAATTCTTTTTCTCCATTGTGTCATGTTAAAAGTCAAATTCTCGTTTAAATCTAATAAAAAAAAGATCATTTCTAATATTTTCTAAGCAAGTCTTTTTAAGTCTACCTCTACCTTTCTTACTATAAGTCAAATCTAATACTTCTATTTTCCTAACCGGGTATTGAAAGGCCGCCGTTTTATGGGGAATAACGAACAAACAATCATAAAAATTCAACCATTAACTATGATAACGTTCTTTATGACATGCTATTACATGTTCAATGGATGAAGAAAGTTTGTCCGAGCAAAAGCTTACATCCTCCAAACTGAACTAAAAAAATGGGCAATATTTAGAAAATAAAACAAGGAAAGAGGCAAGGCTTATGATTGTGATAAAAGAAAACCTTATCAAGCAAATCATATATAGGCATCATTTGGGACAATTTTCTTATTGTTTCTTAAAGTAGCTTTTTAATATAATTTTTTTAATTTTTGTACTAAAAAAATTACTTCAAGGAGTAAGAAAGCGGTCCTAAATGAAGCCATAGTGTGACCAAGCATTTAGGAATGATGGTTCAACATGTCTGGCTAACCTTGTAAACGGTGACGAAACATGATAAATGACTCTCTGAGTGTGCCGCCGGATAAGCTTCTTAGCTTTTGTTATTGTGAGTTGTCGGGCAAAATGAGATATCTCAGCATCACCTTCTCTCCAGTCGCCCAGAAAATCACCCTCTGCATCTCCTCTCATAATAGTTCAAAGTACAAAAGCCTTGGCTTTACGACGTTGAGAACTGAACAGTCTCGTAATGGAGGTGAAAAATCCATGGCCAGAACCATCATTGGGGTGTTTGAGAAATTGTAGAGGAATTTGTACTCCATCAATGTCACTGAGATTAAGACTGCTGGCTGGGAGATCTCTCCCTTGTGCTCAAACTTGTACTATTCATAGAATAACAGGAACTTTAGGAATTCCAAAATTGCAAAAAGAATCTAGAGAGGTAAAAATAAATAAGGAAATTGTGTTGTTAAAATTCATTTACTTGCCGTCTCTGTGGATCTTGCTCATCTTCTGGAAAGAAATAATTCCACATCATCTTATACTTGCTTTCACTTAATTGAATCTTCAAAGGGTAGACATCAACCTGCAACGGTAGAATTCAATATCAGAAGTCCTATGCAGAACAGATGCCTGAACCAAGTTACATCAGCAAACAAGTTGGTTACTTTTAAAATGAAATATTCACACCACACCCAAATAAATCAGTTTGGCCATGAGGGTTTCCTTCTTATTATACAAATTGTAATCTTTAGTTGTGTAGATAATAGTACACAATACAGAAATTAAACAAGCAGCACTAGCAAGTGAGGAAATATTGAGATGTTCAAACAGACGGTATGGTGGTGTTGAAAGGAAGACAATTTCCAGTGGTAGTTCTTCTTAAGAAGTCCTACAGGAATTAATAGTTTATACAAACGAAAAAATGCAGATGTTTGAAATTGTTTTCACTTTAAGAGAGCTGTCTTCGGATTTATTTGTTTATAAAAAAACAATATAAATGGCAGGAGAGGAGGAAATGATTAGAATGCTATCCTTCTATGAATTAATTAAGAGAGCCAAGAATCTGGCATTCTTGGTGGCGATTTCAACCTAGAAAAGAAAGGAAGTTTAAGAAACAAAATGCTATTAAAAGGATCAATAAACTTAGATAATGCAACCATGGAATGATCCCCAAGAACAAAACAACAATTACAAAAAAAATCTTGTTGCAGCTTTTCCATAAAGAGAGTGTTAGATATTTGTTTCTAGATTTAGGTTTGCTTTTGTGTAGGTGTCTTGTTTGACATATATGGTCAATAGTGTTGCTCTTTGTATGACTTTTGTGCCTATATATAGGAGGTCTTTAGGCTTGTAATAAACAGCCAAGAGAAATAAAGAAATTCTGAGAATTGGCTCACGGTTCTCACCTCTCCTCTCCCTCCTCTCTCCCTCTCTAGATCTTGCAAGAAGATCTCTCAAGAAGAGCTTCCTCCTTTGGTTTTCAACAGAGAGATTATGAAGGAAGCATATTTTCCTTTCTAAGGTATCTTTTCAATCGGCCACTTGGCAAAATCAAAGGTTATTGTCCGATATGAAGACAGTGGCCTGCTGCATCAGTCCATATACCCTCCATCATGTTATGGCGTTTTCGTACGTGTATAGCTTTTGTTGCATTCCAGAAGTTTTAAAGTTAGGGTCTAAGACTTTGTTTGGGACAGCTTTCTTCCTACTTCTTAAAATAGATTTTTAGTACAAAAATTAAAATTTGTGTACTAAAAAACTGCTTTAAGAAGCAATCCCAAACCAATCCTAAATGTGTGATGAAATTCGTATGTGCATATTTTATTTTTTTAGTGGGATTGGATGAGTTCTTTTTCAATGTTCATAATGTGAGTATAAAAGGAGGCTGCTCGGTTTGTTTATTAGCAGAATGATTCATCATAGAGATAATGCACATCTCCTTGGTTAACCCTTCATCTGTACGCGTAAAAACAAATAACAATTCCTGTCTAAGAAAATCTTTTTGATAGCTACACACTTAGACGTCAAATGTTTGATGGAATGACAGTAGTACCTATATCAATACATAAGTACAACTTTTGGTTATTCCATTATGCACCATTTAATTCTCCTGCGCAAACAAGGGAAAATCATCATAGGGAATGGTAAGCGACTATTCAGCATAATCGTATAGGTGAATTTATGAGTATTTAGTCGTTCTGCTACAACAGGATAATGCGATGAAGCACTTCAATGCACAGTAGATACACTTTTATCAAACAGTGATGAAAGCTATAACTATTTTCTAAAGGTAAGTCTGGAATCTTTCTTGGGTGACTAGGCACCTTATATAACGCCTTCAGGAAATGAGAGTTCGATTGATGGTGAAGTAGAGCATGTTCCCTCAAAGATTCTGCAAGGAAATAAGGCTAAGAAATTTTCCCAAACACGAGCTCATGGTGTTGCAGGGATTCTTGCCGAATAAGTCCTACCAAACAAACTTTTAGAAGTTCGACGATAAAAGCCCTGTGAAAAATTTAGCTTAAGTATTTAGCGGCCCACAGCATTGCAAGGGATCCAAACTTTTTTGCATGGGATCTCTTTCCCCAAGAAAGGGCTTACCGCAGTTTGCTGTGAGGTGAAATTAAATGGCCATGGTTTTGTTGTGGTATAATATGTAATAACTAAAGAAGGCTTCATTTGGGACGGCTTTTTTACTGCTTCTTAAAGCAGCTTTTTAGTACAAAATTTTTAATTTTTATGCTAAAAAGTCGCTTTAAGAAGAAATAAAAAAGCCGTCCCAAACGAAACCGAAGACCAACTGTTTCGATCATATTCCAAGGTGGAGGTCATGAAGTGAGTACCACCATATGAAAAAGCTCGGTCATCATCAGCAGCCATACCAATGATTATCTAGGATAACTTCATGAGTCTGCTTTTCCATTCATTTAAGTGCTACATAAAGTCAGTCTTGGCAATGGTTAAGAATTGGGGAAGTGAGCAACACAATATGAAAACCCTGTCATCATTAATAGTCATGCCCTAAACATCTTGGATGGCTTGATGAATCCACTTTTTTTATATATTCATGTTAAGTGCTACACAAAATATTAACTCATGCAATCATTTTAGCTTAATTTCTAGTTGCATTTTCTCTGACATACAATTTTCAATTCCTAATCATATTAATTCTATTTAAAAGTGTTTTGAAAATCAGATCGGACTTATCGGTTCGACTGATTCGATTGTGAACCAATCAAATTGCCAGTCCGATTACGTTCGAAAATTGAATTTGCATTTAACAGACTCAAACCAATTTGAACCGCCGATTTGAGCTAAAAACTATTGAATTGGTAACAAAATTTGGCAAAATAGACCTGTTCAAACTGTAGGCTTGATTTAAAGCTCATTTTGTGCTTAAAAAGCAGCTCATTTAGGCTTGAGCCAAGCTTATTGAGCTTAAAATATTAAATTTTATTTTAATAAATTTTTAATAGTATGTTTAAATTTTATTAAATCTTTTTAATTTTTTAAAATTCATTTAAAAACATATGCAATTAAATTCAACAAAGATACATGATTGCCATCTCTCACGCAGCTTGATTTATTGCTGGAAGCTTGTGCTTTACACTATATAAAGATAAGTACTTAAAATTTTCTGATGATGTAGGACCGAAAAAACAGTGTGAATACTAGATGGAGAACTACGCTATAAAGTTGAGTTGGGCTGCAAATTTGGTCTATGAATTTGGGCTGTTAGAATGAGTATTAAAGTTAAGAAAAAATATTTTTATTATAAACTATATACTATATTAAATATTATTCATATTATAAACTATATTTATATTATATTATTATAAACGTATTCCAATTTTTAAAATGTCGATGCATTAAAGACAAGTTCTAGCCTTCTAGTAAATAAGTTACAATGACTCAGACGTAATTGAGTCCGAGACTTATCTTTGTTCCAAACAAGCAAACCCTTCATGGCTGAAAGCATAAGGAACAGTTTAAACAAACTCCTATTGCATGAAATGCGTACAAAAAATACACAAAATCTTGATGAAAATTAGGTTTTCACACATCGTGGATCAAGATATTTACAATGCTCAAGTAATTAACGGCAAGCTATAATTATAAATCGAAATGTAACCCATTGAATAATCATATCATAAAAGTATAAAGAAGAGTGCGAAGCGAAACTTACATTGAAACCATCAGTCCGACAAACAAAGTACAACGAAGAAGGCGACAATCTCCAGTAAACCCATTTCCTCGACCACTTAGACGATCCCGACCTCAAAGAACGCCCTGCATCCGCAGTTTCGTGTAGATAGTTTGCATCTTTGTACTGACGGGAAAGATAAAGTGGATAAATCTGTAGTAGTAAGAAGAACAGGGAAGAGAAACAAGAAGAAATGCGAAAGGATTTAGGGTTTCCTGTCATTTGCGGGTTTCTAGGGTTTGAACTGGAAATTTTGAAAGGGTAACGGGGAGACCCGTCACGCAAGGCACACAGCCACTGTTCCGGCGAATACCGCGATAGCTGAGATTTAAATACATACCATCTTATATACTGTATTTACATATTTAACAACTTAAATTTTAATATTACATATTTATCACCATAGTTCATTTTTATATCAAATATAAATAATAGATATGAAATATATGAGTAGTATGAAAAAAATATAAGTAATATATTTAATATTAAAATAATATAGAGAGGTATGCATATAATATTATAATTTTAGGTGTTAAATATATAAATAAGATGTTAT